ATATATATATATATATACACATGTAAAGCATAACTACTGAGATTTCCTAATTTTATATGCCACTAATAGTTTCTATGTATAATTTCAGCCTAATCTACAATTGAGAAATAAAAAGTAAAATATAGACTGTTGGAAATCAATACAACAATTTCATCAGTTTAAATATGAGGCTCTAACTATAAACTAAATAGAAATACTTCAGAATCATGAGGTTACTTTTTGAATTTTCCATGTATACTGTTATTTCCATATTTAAGAATTCTTTAAGGATTTTATGTTTATTGTGAACAGTTATTTCATATTTATAAATATACTGTGCTTTCCAATCCTTCTGTCAAGGAAGCTTTCACATTTTACTTTAATTTTAATTCATAAGAACACCCAGTAATAACAATGGTTATCTTTTACCCAAGTACCATGAAGAGAAACTTATGTTTTTGTTATACATCATGTTATCACATATTCTTATTTTACTTGGGTGTAAAAAAATCAAGTTCTCATAGGAGTAGAAATTTAAAGTAACTTATGAATGGCCAACACACAATTAACAAAACTTTTGTTATGTTTATAAGATATTAGTATCATTTGTAAGATAAATAGATTAGTATCATTTGTAAGAAAAGATAAATAATCTTGAAATATTTGCAAATTTAAAATAAACTGAAGTCAAGAGGTGAGATTAAGAGGAGAAAACATTGCTAAGTACCGTGTTCAGTACTGTTAAATATTTAGTAAGCTAAAATCCTGTATATGTTTAAAATAAATAAATCTTTATTCATATTTCTTTTCACAAAGAAACGCTTGAAACTGCTAGGTCTGAGTTTGGTATAGATTTTTGTTGTTCTCTGACCACACATTTACTCATTTGTTCAAAAATTATATTATGCACTTTTCCCTATGTGTCATTTGGAAGCATTTTAATGAGAAACAGATTTTATGAAATAAAAAGTCAGCATCTTTAATAGCCTTCAGAGAAAGGGTGTTGTAATACTTAGGTGTCAGGTAATCTGTGTGTCTCACATTTCTTCATTCCTTCATGTGTTTAATATTATTTATCATCTGAAATCACTGAAATTCTGAGACAAGAAAGCCCTGTTCAGCACAGAATGAGCCAACACAGAGTTGGACACTGTCCGGCACTGGGAGGTTGTCCCTTAGATTCAAATGAAACATCAAAAAGAGGATTCACACAGCCACATACAGATCAGGATAGAAAAAGTTATATAGAATAACATGAACTTTTTTCTAATATTAAACATTGTCAATTTTTCTGTCATACTTGGTCCTGGTAAGTATGGGCTCATAAAGATGGTATAGTTGACTTTGTTTGTGGCTAATCAGGAGGCAGCTGCCTCATTGAGCTTTCAAATGTTTGTATTTAATCTCATTTTCTTGGGTTTTTTTGTTTGTTTTGCATGAGGAAACTCATACTGTAGTCACATAATGATTTACAAGTGCTATCCTCTTTATTTTGATTATTTATAGTTCTGTTACTTATGTTGCATTATATTATGAAATGGTTTCAGCATTCAAAAGTTAAGTGATTGTGGCCTTCCTGACATTTATACATTTAAACGGAAATGTTGCTTATGTTTCATCAGTTAGCATAATATTTACATGAGCTTTAAAGAAATACTTCCAAAACTTTTCTTCTGATAAAATCTTTCTCATTTTTGTGCATTTTGCACCCACTAAAGCCCATGGTATAATCTCAAATATTGCTTTTTAATAACTGGTTTCTCCCTAAATTCGGAAATCTTTAAAACCAACTTTAACACAGACAAAATGCAGAAGATTTATACCAATATTGTCACTGCCGCCAATGTTAGACAGGTAGTTAGAGCGGTGGCTAGTCTACCACCACTAGTCATCTGATCTATAAATGTGGTGGAACAGACAAAAAAAAAAAAAAAAAAAAAAAAACACTGAAAAATTTAAGGAGGCTTCTGAGATAGGAAGGGGCCCTTCAACGCCTTTAAAAATACCCTGGGTTTGGATCAACTAAAGCTAAGTTTGAGTGTATTATCATTATTGACATCTCACTTTTGAAATCTGAGACCAGAAAGGATTATGTGACTGTTGTAGATGCCTCAAGACACTGACACTTTACCAAAACATAGTCTTGGGCTCATGTTAGGCTAATTTCACTTTACTGATTGTTGGTGCTTGAGTTGATTGATTTGAAACTGGCATCTCCAAAGTTGGGAGACCTGTGAGGTAATGCGCACATGCGTGCGGGCATGTATATGTACACACCCACACACGAGTCATTATTAACAAATTGGATTCTCTTGAGTCACCTACAAGCTAGAAGAGATATAAGGAAGTCATTAAGAAAAATCAAATCTATATGAAGAAAATCATTTTCAACCCTAATGCAGAGTTAACATTTGAAACAATTTCTTTTGAAATAATGACAAAACGCTAGAACTTTGGTTCAAGGCATGGATAGTTACCTACAAATGGCAATGCCAGTGATAGCACACTGCTTGAAGTTCTGGATTGCTTCCAGCCACCAAATTGTCCAAAGACAAGACTTTGTGACTGGCTCTCAAGGATGTGTACAAAGTTGGTGGCACCAGTACTGTTTCTGTGCTCCAAGTGGGCACAGGTGTTCTCAAATTTGGCATGGTAGTCACCTTTGTGCCAGTATCACAATCGAAGTAGTCTGTTGAAATGCACCACAAGATTTAAATAACTGTCTTCCTGGGGACAATGTATTCTTCAAAGGTAAAACTGTGCATGTCAAAGATATTTATTTTGGCAATATTATAGGTGACAAAAATTATCCACCAAGGGAAGCTGGTGGCTTTGTAACTGAGAGGTAGGAATGAATCTTTAAGAAATGAGCAGTCTTTAAAGTGACGATAGTACTTCTCCAGTTTTCTCGTGCTGAGACCACATCTACCACTCCCATCCCTCAGTTCAGACAAATTGACTTGCAGAGAAGTACTGTGTCTGTTAAAAAGCAGCATATCCATGTGATGCAGATGCTGACCCCAGGAGGTTGAGGTCTAGTTTCAATTTGATGAGGATGAGGCCAGCTGAGATTGCCTGAGAAACAAAACAGTATGGGATTTCATTGTTCATTGTCTCATTTTGTTCCTCTATGCCTCTTTTTCACACTAAAAGCCCTTGTGCACCTGAATAGAGGAGGTAGAGACTTGAGCCAACAAAGAAACCTCCTTATCTCCTTCAGAGATAGTTTTTTTTTTATTTTAAAGAGAGCAATAAATGACAAAGTAACAACAACATAGACAAACACAAAACACAACAAAAACAATAAAAATGATACAGGGTTTCAAAACAGAATGATAGGAATTTACAGTGGCTGTTATATTACATATTGTTATCTTCAACAAAGTTGCTCAGATGACCAGATGTAAGAATGCAAGATTGATCAAACCATTAAAGAGAATAAAAAAATTGCAAAATATTAGAAATGATACAGAGCTTTACTAGACAAGATGGTAGGAATTCACCAATGGTTGTTATATTGCATATTGTTATCTTCAAATTAGTTGTTTGGATTATCAGATATAAGCATGCAAAATTGGTCAAAAAAAAACCCCAGAGTTAGCTTTGAATGAACCTTTCCTTTCTATCAAAAATAAATCTTTTTCCAAAATATGTTGAAGAGCACTGGGCAGTGTAGATCTTAAGCTCTGGTAACAGTCTTAGTGTTGCCAAGAAGGAAAAAAAAAATCCAGGTCCTCCTGGCATAGCTGTGTTGGCTTTCCTCTGAGAGGCAGCAGTCACTTGGGGAAGGGGAATTAACTGCTGATGGCTGGCTAATTCTGGGACTGGGACTGCAGGAATGTCCCACAGCTTCCATGAGACACCTTATTCTTGGAACTCTCATTCTTTCCCATTCTTGAAGACAGTTGCCTGTGAATACCTTGCAAGAGAAAGGAAAGGGTCTTGGTTTTAGAGGAGGCAATGGACTCCACCAGAGTTTCACACAAAAGTGTATGATAGAGATCTTCAATCCTTTTGGACTTTCTAAATCTTTTTTTTCGATCTCTACAATTTTAGCTCATGTGAACTGGGTTATCTCTACCATTTGGGACTTAGATGGACATTTATACAGCCTACAAGTCATTTTGAAGTACTGATGGGTATAGGATAAGATCCAGAGGGGTAAATTTCCCAGGAGAATTTTTCTTGTTTGCCCAGAGAGTATCTTTTGTTTTGTTTTGGTATGTTTTATTTTCTTGTTTGCCTGTGTCTTTCTCTTTTTATAACCAACTTTATTACTAGGATGGGCAGCTGAGCGTTGTCACCGTTACTAGATTTTGAGGTGTTGGGGACACTTTCTAGAGGTGCTTTCTAGGTTATTTTTGTCCTGAACAAAGACACAGACTATATAAACAAAATATGCAGAATGATTTTACACTTATTAAAGATAGGAAGATAGATCTGCTCCACAGTGCGTCTGGGCCAAATAAAGTAGGAAGAGAAGTACAGTCTTCAGGGTGAGAGAGGATAACCACGAAACAGAGAGCCCGGTGCCCATGAGGAAAATGCCCACTGTCTTTCATATCCCTCACCCCTCAGGGTATTGGCAGGTCTCACCTTACTACTAAAAACCTACTTGATTTCTCAGAAGAAGAACTGAATGTACTAATCTCTGATTTGGTCCCAAGACAGGGCATGAGTGTATGTCCTGGATTTTCA